GGCATGTTAGCATAGCTCTGAGTTTACAACTGTGCTTGCTCTCTGAGCTGCAAGCTGGGAATTTTAGCCTCATCTCTACTATTTACAGTTCAGTGAAATGCTTGCTCTTGTTCGTCAGTAAAATTGCGTGCTGTTACTTTAAAAAGCAGACGTTTTTCACTCACTGTCTTTCCTTTTCAAGTAATTCAGCTGAGAAGTTGAACAAAGTAATTTCAGGTAGAGGTGGAAATAGAATTGCGCTCTCGGTGCACTGGAACGCTCTGCCTCCTTGGATGAGTGGGCTAAATCCACTGGCTTAGATAGCTTGTTTATAATCACAGTTGTAAACACCGTAAATGGGTCTTGGTTCACAGATGCAGCCAAGAATCCTAATTGTTAGTTTTCTATTGCTCCTAGAGACAGGTTAAGATAAAGGACAGCTTTTTGACTGAATGTCTTCCATAAAGCACTGCTTCAGGGTTGCTTGTGTTTTCTTCTCCCCTGTCCTTAAGGGAAGGAAAACCACCACAAACCAAACAAACCTTGGCTTTAAAATTAGGTTTTGTAGTCAACTGTCACTGCAGTCATGACCCACACAAAAGCCCATGTGTTCTATTTTTTGTCATTAATCTCTCATTTTGTCCTGCAATTGCACAGTTATGAAATTTGGAAGATTGAGAGGCGTAAATACTGGCAACTTTGCTTGTATATACTGAGTTCATTTCTTCTGCTGTAAACTGTCAGTGCCAACCTATATCCGGAGACTATGGGCCCAGCAATTCAAAACTTGTATTTCATCTGGTACACAGCTTTTAAAAAAAAAAAAAAAAAAAAAAAGGTGCGGATCTTGTTTCTTTACTCACCACTGCAAAAGTCAGGCTCAGTTTGGAGTTTGGCCTGTTTACCTGTTAGTAATTCCTTTTTTGACTTCACGGGTATTTTGGTGCAAATGCAACATACCTTCTATAAATTTATTCTGTGTTTCACCTGGGACTTCCATGTAGTATTGTACTTGAGGTGATGGGCACACTGTGAACCTGGAGCAATGGGGAACAAGCTGTGGCCACACTTGAGTGTCTCCTCACTGCTCATTTGCTTGGACCTGGGATGGCTCCACGTGTCTCTGTACAAAGCTGCGGTGTGTAATAAACGTCTCCAGAGTGAGTGGAAGCAGCCAACCTCCTTTTGCATCCTTGCTGACCCTAGAGGTGGGACAGATGCAGTTTGCTGTGCAGGGCAACACATGAGCTGCACTGCATTTGAACTGATTTGAAGTGTCTGCAACCCTGATGCTGTAATTCACAGCCTGGGTAAATTGTTCACAGGTTGTGAGGAGTTACATGTGAGTTACTACAACAGCTTGTTTAAGTACTTACATTGCTCACATTTACTCGCAAAATCAATTGTATGTAAATGCTGTATTGTAACTGAGTCTGAATGGAGAAAATGTTCTTGAAATTGTATGAAACCCCAAGTTTCTTTGAATCTTTTTAAATGACCAGTGCAGGAAGAATGTCTGTCTTTAACACCTTGAAAAAGTGATTTCATGGTTCCAGTATAAATCAAGATTCCTTACTGAAGAAACATCGTGCTTCAGCGTTCCTGATGTCAGCAGAAATGGTACGGTGTGAGCAATTAATAGAATGGGTAACACTATACTGGTGGATATTCCACACACTGCATCTTGCTGAAAGCTCCATATGGTTGTGAAGCATCCTTGAAAAATGTAATAGTAAGCTGTGTGTCTGGCTAGAAGGGGACTCTGCAGAATGTAAAAGGTCATTCAAGAGGAAAATTTTTTATAACAAACAAAAAATCCCAAACCTTTGTTGCTGAGCATAGAAGCCCTGGAGAGTCTCTTATTACACAGGAATGTAGCTGAGATATAGTGCTGTAAAGTTTCAGGTCTGTATTCTTTAGTCTGTTTTGTCATATGGATTTTGGATAAATGGCCATGTGCTCTAGATACAAAAGTAAAAAACAGGGCTTTGAGAAGTAGGTGCAGCTTCAACTGGTGGGAGCATGTAGGATCATCTTCTCACAAGATTAAGGAAATAGAGTCTGTTTTGAAAATGAGATGTTTAAAAAAATCCTGTTTACCATTTACTCTTGGACTTTAACCATGTTGCTTTTGTTTTCAAGCTTGTCTTTGCAATCAAGAGTGTTATGACTGACATTGCAGAGGCTTGGGCTTTTAAAAGATATGTTGAAAAACTTCAGAAGAAACTGAAGTCGAATGCTATAGTGACAGGTGCTGATGGAGACAGTCTTTCTTACTAATATTCAGATCTGTTCAGGTCTTGAAAAAATGGTCAAAATACAGCAATCTGGCAGTAATTTGGCTGCATTTAAACTCCTACAGCTGCTACTGCAAATGGGTCTGTATTAAAGGAATGACAACTGGAGGGGAGTATCAAGGCAAGAAAACACATCTTCATTCTTTCCAAATCTGAATGCATCTTCCCTTTTTACATGTGGCAGAGGTGCTACAGTAAAGGGGAAGTTGTTGTAAAAAAAGAAAACTCACGGTAAGCCACTTTCTTCTCAGTTTGGCAGGAAATAAAAATTGTTAGTCACGACACTGGCACTAACTCCATGGCTTGTGTGACTGTTAACAGGTCTAGCAGAGCATCTAGGCAAAGAAAAGGATAGGGATATGATTTTCTTTTTCCTGGCATTTTCTCTCCTCAAGTGGATCATCTTAAATATTGACATAATCTTCAGTAGTTAATATATTTTAATATTTAGTATGGAAAATACTGTAATTCCAGGAATGACACCATACAAGTCAAGTTCCACTGATCTGTAAGCCAGGTTATGACCACAACCCTACATTTGCCTGTTCTAGAGGAGTCCTTTTTTTCAGCTCTTCCTTTTGATTTCTCTCTTAGAACAAGTCAAAGAAGGTAATCTTTGTTTTTGCATCTTCTACAGTTTGTATTTTGGTCAGCAGAATTAAAAAGGAGGCGCGAGAGGATCATTTCAGTTGTGCTTTAGCGCAGATGCCCTAACTTATATACTTATTATTTATTTTTTTTCCTCTGAAGATCCCCTGTCATGTTTCAAAGTACTGGCCTGTTTTGGGAACTGTGACATGCAAATTCATGTACTAAGGCTATCTAAAGGGAAGATAGTCTTATCCTCAGGGCAGAGGCAGTTCCTCAAAAAGCAGTAGAGTTGAGCAGGAAAATGAAGCTTTTTCTTGGAGCTGGAGCTTTCTTTTCTTTTTCTCATGTGTTGCAAATTCTTGGCTCCTTCTGAAAAAATTCTGCTGAAGACTTTCTCTTGAACTTGTGTTACCTTCTCTTTTGCCTTTCTGTTACTGATCTTGTGATAGAGAGTCTAGAGTAGTAGAAAAACTGCATTTGTCTAGACTGGGAGTGCAGAGATAACTGACCTGGTGGTGTTTGAGTTAATCCTGGAGGTAGAAGTTCCCTTCAGAGTCAGGTGAAGCACACTGAAGACAAGGTTTTACTAGTTTAGGCACACCACCAGGCAGTATTACTCTTCAGTGTGAGCCGTTCAGTCAGCCCTGTTGTTAAAACTGTGCAGAATGTAATTGCTGGAGGGGGTCAAAGGCAACGTTGAAAACCTCTGTATCGCTCTTCATTGCGAGCTGTGGATACATTTCTCATGTTTGCATCTATTGGCAGCTGCATTTATCTGTGGACCTAGCCTTGTCTTCTTGTGTGTGTGTGGTCATAGAGATGTAGATTTGTTGGTAGCCTCGTCATAGTAAGTGAAACATGCAGGTAATTTGTTGTTCAGCTCTTAAAGCAGCTATGTATGTGATACATTGGCTTGTTATGTGGATATTGAGAACTCTGGAAAAACTGTTGTGTTTTTTAAATGTATATACAGTGCATAGTGGAGTATTAGCAATCAAATTCTGCTTTTAACCAGCATAATTATTTAATGGCTTCTATTTTCTCTCTTCTTTTCTCTTGCTCTTAGCAATTATCAAAGACCTGACAAATTATGTCTCTACTGATGATGCATCTGCTTTTTATTTTTTCTGCTCTGCTTGCTTTTCCACTGAGTTTACTGGTAGATATGAGTCTGACTCCAGTACAGAATCATGAGCTGTCTGAATCTTCAGTACAAGGAGTTTTTGACTCAGCTTATTATATCACTATTTTTGTGCAGTACAGTTTCTTCCAATGGATATACAAGGACAGTGTGTACTTAAATGCTGTTTTACTTGCTTTGATACAGAATTTCTTTTTTTCCTTTCTTTTTCTTTTAAATATTACTGTTGCTAGCAGGATTTCCCAAAATAATAATTAAAAAAAATCCCACAAAATTCTCAACAATTCTTCCCATTTGAAATACATAATGCACATTTTTACAAATAGTTTTGAATATGTAAGAATATTTTCTGCCAGTGGACTGCAAAAATGGTGTGATTTCTTAGCACAGGGATCAGTTTCACTCACACCACCATGTAATGATTCTCTTGCAGGAACATGTACATCCAGCAGTAGAATGAGATCCTATTAAGTATTTGCAAATAATGCGGCAAATTTTCCTGTATTGTCTTATCTGAAATTTCTTTATATTGTACTGGAAGTATTGTAATTATAAGAAATAAAGAGCTAGACTGTGATCTCCTGTGGTAAGTATAAAGGGAATAAAAAAGTTGTTTCCTCACAGCATGCCAGTCCTTTGTAGCAAATAGGGTAGGGGATATTTGAAAAAAAAAAAACCTCGTCTTATACACATCATAATTCTGGGTTTAGATGCATTATGTATGGGAGTGCTTAGGGACCGGCTTCAAAGTTACCTTAATTTCAGAACTGCATATCTTTTGAGGGATTGACTTTTTTACACTAATAGCATCCTTTTTGATTTTTTTTTCTGAGAGTGAAACACTTCTAGATAAAACTTTAATTTTGTTGCGTTAAAGGAACTGATACCTTTCATTTGTAATCCTGTAGGGTACTAATTCTTATTATTGCAATTTAAAAAATAAAATATTTCCTCTTTCCCCTCTTTTATTATGTTTATGTATATATTTTCAGATATGATTCTGGACCAGCAGGTGGGTTCTGGGCAGCTCAGTGAGGATGTTCGTCACAGAGTGCATGAGGCATTACTGAAACAGCATCACCATCAGAACCAGAAGAAGCTGAGCAACAGGATCCCAATTGTGAGATCCTTTGCTGATATTGGAAAGAAGCAGTCTGAGCCCCATTCCATGGATAAAAATGGTAATGCATTGCTTTATTTTGCATTTTGAGCTTCCAGTAACATCTGCCTGTTCAGTATCGCATGTGCTTTGTACCCACAACTTGAACTCAGTGTGATTCTGCTGTGAAAAGCTACTGTGTAAAAGTAGTACCTTTTACATGAGAGTGGTTCCTCTTACGCATTCAGTAACACGCCTGTTTAAATTTGAAATATCCTGCACAATTCAGGGCTGTGCAGAGGTATTCAAGGGAACTTGGGTTCAGGTGTTGGAAGCAGGCTAGCAGTGTTAGTGTGCCATTCTGTGCTGGGTAATTGGCATGGCACATTATCCCTAGTGTGGCACAGCTCAAGTACGCTTGTGGTGCTTTAGGCACTCTGTACGATCCTTCAGACTGAGCTTGAGCGTCTTTGCACATGATCTGTGGACATGCTCCATTACTGCCAGAAATGTGATATAACTATTCTTGACTTCTGTTGACTATCCAGGGCCTATTTAGTTAAAATGTAATGGATTGTTGGAATAGTTTCTAAGTCTATGACAGTGTATGCATTAGCTAGTGTGAACAGTGGTGCTTCAGATTTCATAGTTGAGTTTGAGGGGTTGGAAAATGAGAAAAACATTTTCAAGATGACACTGTTGAAGAGATGCCACAAGAACTGTACCTTGTTCTTTCAGAAAATCACTTTTTGGAAAATCATGTTCATGAAAATGAGAGAGCATGTTTGCAGAGTGGTTCTACAGTAGAATATTGGCTTAACTTTTTTCTTTCTTGCTTTTACAGAAGCCTTTTTAAGCTGTACTGTTGTTATAGGTTAATCATAATGAAAGATAGTTTCTTATTGCCCCTTATTTACATAAACACAGGCCTGTGTTATGAAACTTGCAGCCAAATTTTGCAAATATTTACAATTAATTCACTAGAATTATACATTGCAGCATTACTGAGCCTCTGTATCCAGTATTTTCACAATACGCACAACATTTTTGTCTGAACACCATTGGACTATAGTGACTCTTATTCCAGAAATCACCGTAGCTTTAGTGAAATCTCAGTCCCTTCTGCTGTCTCTCTGGTTCCGGGCCCTACTGAGCTCCCCTGTCACCCTGGGAAGTGGGGAGTGAGGAAACAGCCATAGCACAGGGAAGGGGCAGGGCGCAGGAGGCAGCTGTGTGCTGTGAGGCGTAGGGCAGAAGGGGAAAGATGATCTGGAAAGATGGGGCTGTTGGTATAAAGATAAACTCTGGTTTCAAGGAAGGACTTTTTGTTTCAGTCATTGCCATATAAAGTTTTAATAGGTACTTTTAAATCTAGCTGCTTCCCTGGGGAAGACTCAGATGTAAAAGACAATGTATAATTTCATCTGAAGAGGATATTAAATAGAAACATATGACTTATGCCAAAATATTGTTTTAAGAGTAAGGAAAAAATAATATTTATTAAGATGTGGGTGATTATGTATATGGATGCACAAGAATAACAGTAAGTAGGATGATTGTCCATCCTTTTAAGGCAACTTTCCTGTTGATTTGTGCAAGTCTTACTGATAAATCGAAACAAATATTCAGAAGACACTTAAGAAAGTTAATGCTGTAATGTTCCTATTCCTCAGTTTCCACAGCATGGAAAAGATGCAAGAGGCCAGGCTGAGAGAGTCGGGATTGTTCAGCCTGGAGAAGGGAAGGCTGTGAGAAGACCTTATGGCGGCCTTTCAGCACTTAAAAGGGGCCTATAGGAAGGATAGGGAGAATCTTTTCAGCAAGGCCTGTTGTGACACAACAAGGAGTAATGGTTTTAAACTAAAGAAGAATAGATTTAGACTCGACATAAGAAAGAAGTTTTTTACAATGAGGGTGGTGAAGCACTGGAACAGGTTGCCCAGAGAGGTAGTGGAGGCCCCATCCCTGGCAACACTCAAGGTCAGGTTGGACGGGGCTCTGAGCAACCTGATCTGGTTAAAGCTGTCCCTGCTCGCTGCAGGGGGTTGGGCTGGATGGCCTCTAAAGGTCCCTTCCAACCCAAAGCATTCTGTGATTCTATGGCAGCCTGAATTCCATCAGCTTTTTGCACTAGATCTTATATGAGAAATAAGCAGTAGGTCTCCTTAAAAAGACCCCTCAGGGCAAGCTGTGAAATTATCGTAAGCTCAATTTCAGTAACTTTCGGTGTCTGTTGGTGGGACTGATGCAGTAATTCACTCCAGAAACATCTCACTTTTGCCCAGGTTTCTTTTGGGAGCCTTCATATCTCTATCTAATTGCCCAAAAAATAGATTCTGATCAGGAGAGCATCTAAGTCCATATTAAACGCACTAATTTTATATACTCGGTGGTTAAGCGATTCTGTAAGTATGGAGACACATTCTTACAGGTTTTCATTTGTTTGTGCTCATTTTGCAAGATGAAAAACTACTGAGTTCCGGTTCATGTGCTTATGTAGAGATGCCTCAGAGCACTCTAACCCCTGGTTAAAAAAAATCACTTAATCACTTTCACTGTGTTAATTTAAATTAAGTTAAATGCACCATAACCAATACAAATCTAAATAATTTTAGGCACATTTATATGAAGGTAAATCAGCTTTTTATCTAAATTATCTAAATTATGGTGAAGAGTTCCAAACCCACTGTTTTTGGACACAGATGTCTTTTAATCAGGTTGAAGCATTGCTCTTCTACTTGCATCCTTTAAGTGCTAATGCGTATTTGGCAGTCTCCCGCATTGACCTCTTCAAAACAGATGATACCCCTGTGATAAAGCGAAGAGGGGTTGGTTTATTTTAAGTTTCTCTCTTACCATCCATTACCCTGTTACAGTAAAAAGTCTGAATCTTATTGTATTGACTGAATTGTACTAAAACTAGTATTAGCTTTAGAAGAGGAAAATTTAGTCTAAGTGTTTGGTTTTAAAAGGAATCATAATTTTTTCCCTTTTCAAGACAACAGCAGATAAGCAGCTCATGGGCTTGAGTGGCAACTATTACTCCAATATTCTAGGATTAAAGGAGTGGGGAAAGAGATGATTCTGGAGAGCTGCCTAATTTCAGGCACACTGACTGCTACCTCTTCTGGTACATTCTTAGTTATTTCTTTACCCTGGGTAAATTGCTGTATTACGTGCTGTGTAAATTATGCAGGAAATGCTCAGCTTTCAGGAACTCTGGTGTCCTTAGAAGCTTGACCAGGGGTAGCAGTGAGGCTTCTGATCATTTTCTTCTGCTGTAGCCTCATGACCCAAGTGCTAGAGTTCAGCTACGGTGTTATGCTCGCTACAGCTGTATATTTCTTTTTAGATTGCCATGGAGCGTCTGCACAAGCTTCTCATGATAATAACAAAAACGAGTTGTTAAAATTAACTTTGGATCAGGTGAAAGCAAAAGAAAAATCAGCTAAATATGTGTAAAAGAAAGCAAAATTAAGGGAAATAAACACCTTATATTCTTGTCAAGAGTGTGCTGAGACACATCTTTGTTTCCGGAGGACAAACTGGTAAAATGCAATCAAGGCATTACTTTAGTCTGTTTATTCCCATTTGTGCACAACATTCTGTAGAACATATGAACATAAAACATTCCATATATTGCCAACAGTAGCAGTATTGTTCTCTCTTTTTAATACAAAAATGCATTAAGATAGTAAAATACTTTATTATGGCTTTTACTTTCTGGATGAGAAGCTTAATTCCTAGGAGACTGCAGGGAGAAAACCAGATCATCTCAGGTACTACAGATGAGCTTACAGCTCAGTTCACCCCTGTAAGAGATTTCAGAAACGGCAAGTGCCAGGAGCTTTAGAAGGGCCACTTATTTGTCCCTGTTGAAGTGAGGCAGGGGAACTTGGTCACTCTTTCTGCACAAAAGGAAATTCTCAGTTTGGTTAAATTTGGGTTTACTGTAGACAGTTTAACGGAACAATCCTTAGCAGCCTGTAGTTTGTAAAATAGGTGGTTCAGAGCCGTAAGTCCTTGCCATCTGAGTTTCATTGTACAGCTGAGGATGCAAAACCCCTTCTTTGTCCAAGTTCTTGACTATGCTAGTTTATCAATGTATCAACTTCCAGATATTCAGGAGCAAAATCTGAAAATGAAGACGTAAACTTAAATTCAATATATGGCTGTGCTGCTGACAGACCACTGTGATATGTTTGCTGGAAGATAGTTGGACATATGTTCTCCCTCCATTTTTTCTTTGTTTAAGAGTCTGTCAGACCATCTAATTAATTTGCTTTGTATTTAGTAGTATTATCTTTTGTTTACAATGGCTTTTCTTCACATCCTCTGCAGGGCTAAGATGTCAGGGTGCTATGGATTTACCATGCATTTTTAATGCTGCCATGCTGTGTTTAACTTTCACTTTTCATTAAGCATCAAAACTGTGAGAATTAAAAGCCTGCTTTTGATGTTCCAATAAAAAACGACAGTCAAATTTGGCATAAGAGCAGGAAAAATGTTGGTTTTTTTTCTTTTTAAGTCTAATTTGACACCAAATACCCAAAATAGAGGGTGGCAAGTAATTTTAGCATAAATACAGTAGAAGGCAGGTAAAAATACGAATCTTTGTATCTTTAGATAGTAAATCATCTTTAGAAAGTTTGGTTTGTAAAGCAATTTAACTTATTTTTGTTGAGACCAATAGGTTTTTCACTCTGATACCCAAGAGCTGTGTCTGCAAATTCCTATGACGTGGTCTAAAAAACCAAAGAGAATTGCAAATATACAACACCTTTCTGTTGTTGGAGGAATGCTAAAATAATTTCATAATCCTCTCCCCTTTTATAAGGGGTTCTGCAGTTCAGAATTTAAGCATGTGTGGCATGGAAAAGTAGCTGACTTGACGAAAATGTAGCTAGGAAAAGAAGTTTTCATCATGCAAACATTTTAGTTTTATTGACTGGCTATTTCACTTTTAGTCTAGACTTCAGAGTATGTGTGTGTATGTGTGTGTATATATATATGTAATGAGATCTAACAGACCTTTTACTGATTAAAGTCAAAGAGGAAGGAAGTAAGGGAGAGGAGCAGCAT